TGCTCGGGCGCGGACTTAATCAGCTCTTCAAGAGCTTTAAGGGACTGGCCTCTTGCCCGAGCCTCAAGATAAATAAATACAGCACTTTTTCTTTAAAAAAACTATAATATTATTAGTACCTTGACATTTTAATGTTGACTTTAAACCCATTTTTTGATATATTTAGGTGATGTACATAGTGGAAGAAATTTTACAGAACAAGAATGAAGTTACTTTAAGTGGTGAAAATAATATTTTCTCATGGGCATGAAAAGAAGGAAAACAACTCCTAATACAACAGTTAGTCTTTGTAGATTTGCTGTAGTGATGTTTTAAATTTTTATGTCAGTATACAAAAAAAAGACCTGAAATTCTAGCAGATCATAATTTATTTTCACAGTGTGTGAGATACTTTCTGTATGGTAATGACACCTCCACGTATTTCTTGGGTAAATGAGCGGGTTTGAGTCAAGCTGTTGGCTGACATGAGCTGGAGGAGTAGATGGGTGGATGGTTCTTTCTCCAGAGACGGACGGAAAACCAACATGAGGCTTAAACAAAATAATGCCCTCCATGGATTTTCAGAATATCCCAGATTTTAATGACCTTTATAGGATTTTACTATGGCCATGAGGTATAGATGAGTATACTTTAGGAGACTGTATGCCATACATTAGGATCATGCCTAAGCAGACAGAGAACTCAAGAAGTACAAGATTCCCTAATAACAAAGAAAAGAGTCATATTTATCAGTACATGAGGAAAATCAGACCATGGCGTCCAGTTGTCTACAAAGCGAGCAGTCTGGAGAGAGTGAGCGAGGACAATGGAGGAGACGGCCGCACTGAGGTCAGTGGTACCTGAGACCATTCCAGCACTGACCAGGTCAATCGTTCTGTCAGTTCTGTGTTCAAGATGATCAGCTAAGGACTGTGGAGATGCAGCATCGTGGTGTGAGACCAGGGCTCAGTTAGATGAACCCGTGTCCACACCCCGGCACACGTCCCAGGACCATGAAACGTTCGTCAGTCGTTACAGCAATTTCAGGTCACCAGAGGCAAAGGAACTGAGCTGCACTTGGAGAACGGGAGGGAACCAGACTTTTATCAGCTGTGGGGCCCGTGGGGTTCAGCACTGTGAGGTCTGGACACCAAGCAGGAGGTCAGAGAGCTTCAGACAGGGCTCCTGATGGGAAAGGGCCAGCAGAGCAAGGGAAGCTGCTCAAAGGGACAGGTTTGCAGCTCTGCACATGTGGGGCCTCAGCGGGCCAGGGGTGAGAGAGCAGGTTGCAGTGGAGCCACGTGCTCATCAACCTGGGGGAGGGAGGGGCTGTCAGGAGGGGGCAGAGGGACCCCTTCGTTTTCCCAAATGAATGGCTTCTCCTGCTTGAATGCAGTGACTTGTGGTACAACCTGTACACTGAAGGGAAGTTTCATTCCAGACCATAGTTCCATGAATGAAAACTTGAGGACTGTGAATGCGTACTGAAGGTCTTTGTTTCCCACTCTGTCCACCCCTGTGTCACTGTGTCCTTAGTGGAGTGCATGTTATGATCCATCAATTTTCCCCCCACAGTACAGGGCAGGGCACGTTTCCAAACAGTAGATTGTGTAGGCCCAGAGTTGCCATTCATCAAAGCCTGTGGCGTTGGTGAGCAAAACCCTGCAACCTCCCAGGTAAGTTCCCGTGAGGGAGGGTCTGGGAGGCTGTCATGGTAATCCAGTTCCAAAACACTTCATGCCTATTGGAAACACTGTTAGTCCCACGTGGTAGGGATCCCCTAGGTCCCCAATCAATAAAGTTGTATTGACCCATAGACATTTTTTGTCTCCTTGAGGAGGAGTACCTTCTGCAGAAGTGTTCCAACAAGCGTGGGCTTCCCAGAAAAGGACGTTAGGCACCAAGGAGTCAGTCTGGAGATAGAAGCCGGCTGCCCGTGAAGTGCAGCAGGACAGCATTTACTTTCTTGGTGCTCGTTCAAAACTTAAAACTGCAAATAACCCCATCTAACCATGCTTGTGGGGGCGACTGTGCTGCCCTTCCTTTCTGTTTATTACTTGAGGTTTAAGGGAGAGGCGCGCTCTCTCTGCCATTACCTGTCTGTGAGGACTGTAAGCATTGTGTGATGTGCTTCATATGCCGGAGTATGCTGGAGCACAAGAGAAAGGCAGAGAAATACATCTAAAGGAGAAAGCTTATCATCATAAACCATCTCAATTTTACATCTGAGAAGACCTGTGCACCTGGAGGGCAGAAATATGTTTAGTACACAATAAGCTTAGCAATAACGAATGTCACTGTTACGTGAAAATCCTGGTTTCAGTTTAGTTTTGTACCACAAGTATCTTTTAAGAAGTCTCATTTTAAGCGTTTGCCCCACCTCAGCTCCTCAGGTAGCTGTGACTACAGATGCGCGCTATCCGGCCGGGGAATATCTGCTTCTCACCTGCCCGGCTCTGCCTCTGTCCCAGCATGGCTGCCTCAGTCCTCCCAGCACGGTCTCGTGATGCTGTCACTGCCTTGGCCACCACCACCCTG